AAGCACTTTCAAGTATTTGTGTTACCAAGTAAAATAAAACTTTACTAGAAGTTACAGCTCTTTCGTCTCCCATCCAAAAGTTTACAGCGTCAGGATGCTTTCCAAATGCTTCGCTGGCCCACGATATTTCAATTTCTGCGTCCGGCCACAATTTACAAAAGCTGTGTATAAAATTCGAATTTTGTTTCTGTATATAAAATACACTGTTTTCTATCGTATTTTCTAATGTGTCAAGAAACGCTGATATTGTGAGTAAACGTTCCTCGGGCATTACGAAAAATTCCTTTGTATCGTCATCTTTAATTACTGCATCTGCATAGCCATTTGGCGTTACAGCGACTGTAATCTTTTCGTCGTCAAGCACTTTGCGAAAATATGGTATAGACCATTTGCCTACAGCAGGCCAATGTTTTACTGCACCTCTTATTACTAATGGTACATTTTTCGAGACGTACTCTCGGTAGAAGACGAGTGGCGTAATTGAGTGATTTATTTCTGCAACTTCGCTTTGCAAGTACAATTCTACAATATAAGAAAATTACATAAGTACATAACAACTAAAAAGAAAGTCATACTATTATTTACAATCATACGAAAAAATTTGATCATTTTTTTTCATATATCAGACGAAGTAGTAGTAGTAGTAGTAGTAGTAGTAAGAAACACAGGTGGGGCTATGACAGCCACCTAACGTGACCTAGATCTCTAAGGTTCCATTGTCACTCCAAAGATTAGGGGGTCCAGCCCAGCCCCATACCGTGTACTAGGCTTATGAGGTCACCTATCTTTGCTCCGTCCAAATCCTTAGGCATCAGAAATGTGTTGCCCCAGAATCTGTATCTCTTGCAAGCAAGCAGAAGGCAACGACACAGAAAATGTATGCTGTCCTCGCTTTCTTCTCCATATAGTCGGCAGTTTTTCTGCTCGGCTAGTTCAATGTTGTATAGGTATGCTCTGAGAGGCAAGTGTCCTATGAGGAGACCTATGCCCATTCTCAGTTTGTCTCTTCCCATAGCTGTCTGTTCTTTAGTTCTGGCCAGATTGGGTTGTTTCATTAGTTGCTTTGCCCGTTTGCAATCCTTTGACTTTTTCCAGGAGTTTAAGTGCAGCGTCTCTTTTATCTTTCTTTACCTAACACGAAAGGTACTCCGACGGTCCATTTCTGTCCCCAGCTTTGCTAGCTCGTCCGCCCTCTCGTTATCAGGTATGCCCTGGAGTCCAGGGACTCTTACTAGAGTAACTTCGATTGTTTCCCCTAATTTGTCAAGGGCTTGCATACAGTCCCAAACTACAGACGATTCTGTGGTAGTCTTTGCAAATGCATCAATAGCTGCTCTGCTATCTAAGCAGATACAGATGCGGTGCCTAATTTTTCTGTCAATCAGGAGTTCTGCGCACTTCGAAATGGCGAACAGTTCAGCCTGAAAGACTGTGGCTTGCCCCCCTAATGGTATGTTTTTTTCATAATTGGTTTTGGGGCCGTAAATGCCTGCTCCAAAGCAATCATTTGCCTCCGATCGCGCGCTTAGCCACGCCGGCCGCAGCACTACCATTCCCCCCACCCGCCGGGGTTTGGGCATTTGAGGAAGTAGGAGTTTAAGTTTTTGCAGCCCGCTCCTTCTCCCTCTTATATCGGCGTCTGGCGATGCCGCTGAAGCGAGGGCAGGTCTTGGGTAGACCCGTCTTCGCTGTGTTTTCTTCCTCCGGTCGTTCGTTTCCAAGAGAAGCCACGCCCTGGAGGACTTGGTTTAGAGAATTTTGTTCGGAGTCCATACAAGTTCCCACGAGTACCGCGGTCGCGCGATCTCACCCAGACAGAACTGCGAATGCCCGGGGCTTGGCTATTTACTATCTGGAGGTCGCCCAGTATCCGACAAGAGACACCGTTCGGGACGCAACTTCTCTTGTGCCACGCAGTTCTAGGTACGGTAGCTCATACCCTAGCTTGGGAGATTCCAATTAGTTTATCGTCCACGGGCCCATCCCTGAGCGGATGGTAAAGCAGGCGATCGTAAGCCCCTCCACCCGCCCGAGAGCTCGCGGCCCCCAAGGATGCCAGGCGCGCACTTTGCTGGTCAATTTTTACCTCATCAGATCGTTTAGCAGCGAGACTTCGTATCTGCGTCAACAGGTCAAAAGTTAAGCTTCGTGCTTTATTGCTGTGGGGCATTCAGACCACGTGTGTCTCTAGGCGCCCCGCGGCCTGCGAGCCCCCGCCCCACGACTACTACAAGGTGAGAACCCGTTTGGGGGGTAGGGTCATGTACAAAATTATTCAAAAAGTTTCATATATTTGTATCCTAAAACAGCTACTGATATGTTATTGTAAGATGAGTCACATAATTATAAATTGTGAAAAGTAAAGAACAAAAAATGCGCGTTTTAAATATACGTAAATTATATATTTTGTATAAAGCGTGTGTGTTTCCTTTTTATAAAATTTAACGTCGATATAAATTAAGCCCATTCTACAATTGCGTAAGCGTAGTTGTAAGTGGTTCTAGTAAGAATTGACAAATCACAGTCAAATAAGAGAAGGATATTCTATTGCGATTGGTCAATTCTTGCAACTTCAACCACTTACAACTGCACTTACGCAATTGTAGAATGAGCTTTATTCATTAGGTGCATTCAGTACTACGACCGCTCACTGAGCGCTCAGTGAGCTCTTGAATCTGTTTGGTCTATATTTTTAGTTTTAACGGAATATGCCAATAGGATGCAAGCGCTCACTGAGCGCTCAGTGAGCGGTTGTAGTATTGGCTGCGCTCAGCAGAGAAAGCATCGATTCTTGCTTTTGGTTCCTTATAGATCTAAACGTATAAACCAATCATATTGAAGAAGTTTACAACAGTTGCAAAGCTGCTTTCTCTGCTGAACGCAGCCAATGGCTGCGTTCAGCAGAACGTTCGTTTTGCAACTGTTGGAAGTTTCCTTCGCGCTAATTGGATCATACTTTTAG